GCCCCAACTAACACCTCCATTCTCAAGAAAAATGGCATTATGATCTGACACGGACCTTGGTAACAAATATTGTGCAATTTCAAGAAACACTTCCAGAAAATGGACATCAACAAGGAACCTATCAAGTCTAACAAAAGTGAGTATATCCTGGTGGTTACACCATGTGAACCTACCCTCATGTAAAGGTAAATCAATTAAACCTGTCTGTTGGACAAAATGACTGAAAATCCCCTATTGAGTTTCTGTTTTGAGCTCTCCCAACCTTCTCTTCTTCTGATAGATACACATTAAAATCACCTCCCACACATAGAGGGATGTTCTATTCACAAATAAAATCAGCTAAATCTTCTTAAAAAAGTTGGCTTTATCTTCTTCAACAGTAGGCCCGTAAACATTAATAAAACCACACCTAAATTGTGTAATTCGAAATTTCCCAAAAATAGCAATGAACCTTCTGTTTATAACATGATTCTCTACTTCAAACGTGCACTCATCCCAACAGTTCACTAAACCTCCAGAAGAACCCACTGCTGGAGATTCTACAAACCCTTGAAGAGTATTCAAACCACTCCTCAAAAAATGTCTCTGAACCTTCTCCAATTTAGTTTCTTGCAGCAAAAGAATTATAGGGCGTTTATTTAAAACAAAATTTTGAACAACTCTTTGTTTTTCCTTTCTTCCCCAATCCCCTAACATTCCATGAAACAATAGATAGCTTAATGTTCATCATTAAAAACAGACAATCTAAACACCTCCTTCAAAATTACCTTAATTAACCGCATTTCGGCTTTTCTCCAAATTTATGATTTTTTCCAGAAAATTTGTTTTCCCTTGCTTAAAGGAAACCCCCAGAAGCTTACTTACTTCCAAAGTAGCTAGAGCTTCATCCAAGAAAACAGAAAAAGCTGAAGAGGAAGTTGTTGCAATACTCACTTGTTCTAGAACTTCCCTTAACATAATTCTTTTGGCTTTTCTGCTATAGAAACCAGATTTTAATTTTGAACATTCTCCTTTTGAACATTCTCCTTCTGAACACCACCCTTCTAACTCCCTCTCCACACTCCTGTCTTCTGAACCTCTATCCTTAGGAGAATCCTCATGCCCATAGACATTCATGTCAGCAGCTGAAACAGTCTGTTGACTAGTTGTAATGACCGGATCTTGACCATTATTTGTGACTATTACTTCCTCTATTTCTGGTATGGATTGTTGTTCATTCGAATGCCAAAATTTCCTATTCTTCGACCTTATATAAACCCTTTTAAACCTGATCAATCTTCTTCTATTCACCGGTTCACTCTTTGAAGAAAGCGATTTTTTTTGCCAATAAAGCTAACAGCCCCCTAAATTAGGATATGTATTATTAGTGATAGACTGAAGCAGTCCAAATTCAGCATCCTGAACCTCCAAATCATCCCTTTCAGACATCTTGTTATTTGAACTATTTTCTGTCGTTCTGCTACAATTTTCAACCGAATCCAAATTCTGAACCATGCTCCCAAACTTGTTGATTTTAAATGCTGGGCCCGAAGGGATTATCTTTGATTCATTCAACACAGTTTGCCCATTTTTTTCAGAATTGGCCTGTTACCCATCAGCCGAAATATTTGAATTTCTAATTCCCAAACCGGCATACACCCCAACTTTTGAATTCACAATATTCTGACTTTCTGGTAGCCTACTTTTACTGCTTTTCCTATCTAATGATAGGCATGGAAAAATATGTTCCCCACCTACTCCACCAAAACCAAGAATAGTCCCCTGATCAATCCAATTGTCAACTTTCAGCCGATTTCCTTCTACTGAATTTACTAAACCAACCCCACTTTCAGACTGCAAATTGTTTTCTTCCTCATCAAAGTTCAAATCTCCAAAATATCCTTCAACGGAACCATCCACCGGAGGTTTGCTGGAAAAAAAATCGATGACTCCCACGCCGATCCAACCTTAATGCTAACTTTGAAGGATCTTCCATATGATCCTAGTGTGACCACCTCCGGAACATCAAAAGGGCTTGCCACCCTCAATAAAATTCTCGCCGTTGTAAGATCTTCCTTGTTTCTAGTTGAATCGTGAATTTCCACCACCGTTCCCCATCTTTCTGATAACTATTCGAAGAATAGATCATTCCATCATAATAAAGGACCCCAAATAGTTCAACCATACAGAAAGACATTGGAACCCCTTCTTCATTCAACAATGGTGCCAGTCGATGAAACCAGAAATCTAATTCATCTTTCTTCTTCATCCATACCTTCATCATCACTTCGGATGATTTAAAAGTTATTGCGCAAGAATTCCATACATAGCCCCATCTAGCAATTTTAATATCTAAACCTTCGTTAGTTAAAGCATTATGAACTAACTCAAGCTCAAATGAAGGTTTAATGATCCCCGTTAATGACCTTTTAGCCCAGCTGAAACTCTCAGAGGGAATGTGCATTTCAAAGATATTTTTCTTAACCTTCCCCTTATGTAAACCATCAGATGAAAACTCCCTGTTTCCCATTACAGTTCTGTTCGACATCAAAGCATCTCTATAAGTTTTGTCATCCATTATCCCTCTGTTAATGTCTTCAGCCTCTTTTGAATTTCAAGTTTCTGCATTATTCGGTCCTACCTTCTTCGAATAGCTATTCTTCCCCACTAACCTTGTACGAGCTTCCTTATATCTTACTGCTCCAACTGAAATCTTCCTCCCATCGATCAAAACCCCATTTAATTTATCTACTGCTCTTTTCAGACCTACCTCATTCTTAAACTGGACAAAAGCAAAAGTGAAAAATTTGTATTTTGGATTTCTTGTTTCTTTGGGAATGAAAACTCTCAACAGGACCATGGACTAAGAAAATTTCCCTTAAAGTACATCGAGACACCCTCCTACTAAGATTGTCGACGAACACCGTCCAATTCTCATCGAAAACTGACTTTACTTTCAACTTCTCTCTCTCTCTACGTTTTTCTCTCTCTCACTCATATCTCCTAATTCAATGGTAAATCCTACCAAAACTTATCTCAAAACCATAAAAATTTCCTAACTAATCTCCATACCAAAAAAATCTAATTGAAGCATTAGGTAATAGAAGGTGGAAAGATGCTATGAAGGTAGAAATGACAGCCCTTGAGAAGAACAGAACAAGATAAATGATTGAACTACCAAGTGGGAAGAAATCAGTGGGATATAGATGAGTGTTCTTTATAAAATATAAAGCGGATGAAACAGGTGAAAGATACAACACAAGGCTGGTGGCCAAAGGGTACACCTAAACCTATGGCATGGGCTATCTTGAGACATTTGCTCCCGTGGAAAAAAAAAGAATACATTAAGAATTCTTGTCTTCGGAAACTAATTTTGAGTGCGATCTAGAACGATTTGATGTTAAGACTGCATTTCTCCATGGTGATCTTGAAGAAGAAATTTAGATGGAAGTTCCTCCTTGTTTTGAAGCTAAGGGAATGGTGTGTAGATTAAAGAAAACTCTTTATGGGCTCCAACAGTCTCAATGAGCCTAGTTTGGGAGGCTTGCCAAGTCAATGATCTGATTGGTATAATAAGCAAAGTCAAGGTGATCATACCTTGTTCATAAAACACTCAAACTCTGGAAAGGTTACAACATTTCTAGTGTATGTAGATGACATCATAGTTACAGGTCATGACATTGAAGGAATGAAGAACTTGAAAGAATGTCTTTTGAAGGAATTTGACATCAAAGAGCTAGGAAAGTTGAAATACTTCATTGGCATTAAGGTGGCCCGTTCGAAGCAAGGAATCTTCATCTATTAGTAGAAATATGTGCTTGACTTATTGAAAGAAATGAGGATGGGTTGCAAACTAGTTGAGATGCCAGTTGAGTTTAATCATGGGTTATGTGATGCACTAGAAGAACCTATGGTGGATATAGGGTCCTATCAAAGGTTGGTTGGAAAGTTAATATATTTGATATACAATAGATTAGATATAGCCTTTGTAGTAATTATAGTAAGCCAATTTATGCTTAATCCGAAAGAATCACATCTAAAAGCAGTAAACATGATACTACAATACTTGAAAGGTAGCCTAGGAAAAGGAATTTTGTTCAAACATCAAATGAACTCGGGCATTACACTAGAAGCATACACGAATGCAAATTACGTAGGATCTTTAGTTGATAGAAAGTCAACAACTGGGTATTGTACAATCCTAGGTAGAAATCTTATAACCTGGAGGTGTAAGAAGAATGTAGTAGCAAGATCAAGTGTTGAATCAGAATTCATATCAATGGCATTAAGAGTATGGGAGTTTCTCTGGGTAAAGATAATCATATATTAATCGCAATCCTGTTCAGCATTATCGAGCAAAGCATATTAAATTTGATAGGCATTTCATTCAAGAAAAATTGGACAATGATCTAATTTGTACTACATTCAACTTTACCAAGGATCGGTTGACAGAAGTGCTCACGAAGGGGCTAACAAGTAAGGTTTTTCAAGAAATTCTAAACAAGCTGGGAATGACAAATATTCACTCTCCAGCTTGAGGGGAAGCATCAAAATCAGCCATGTAGAAGTCTCATTTGTTTAAGAGTCTTTTATGATAAGAAAGGACAAGTCATATTAATCTTTGTAATCTTTATCTCTAGATAAAATTCTAACTTTAGCAAAAATATCCTATTAGAAATTAGCAACTCAATTTATTTAAACTATTTAATCTCCTAATTCAATAATCGGATTTCCCTTGCATTACCTTTTTTTATTCTTTCCCTCTCCTTCAATTTATTTTCAAAGATTATCATGGGGTAAAGTCTTAAAAGTTGACATTATAAAAGAATGTAAGAGTGGAATTAAAATAGGAGATTAGGAGACAACATTTAAAATGTGTCATCCAGCCAGGGAAGAAAAGCCAATAATAAAAGATTGAAACATGTACCGGAAGGTCAGATCCATTATAAGTCCTATATTTCAACCAATTTTATTCAAACAAATTCAGAAGTTGCCCAGTGATGATCATTGGATTTTATTACCATTTGTAGCTTTTGGTTGATCAAACAAGTTGCCAGGTCAATAGAACTATTGACTGGAATTTTAGGCAATGGTTGTGACTCTTCCCAATGCCAGCGGATTTCTCGAACAAACTCTATCCAGAGCACAGCAATGGCTAGATAAACAAGAACAATAACCAACACTTAGCAAAGGAAAATGTTACAAGTTCAATTGCAGATAAATTACTCTTGAGACAACTTAACATGCATGATTTTCATACATACCACGAATGTTACAATTGCCGAACCATAATGAGTGTAAACAAAACTGAGCAAAAAGAGACTCAAGAGGTGCCCCTTTAATAGCTTGAGAACTCTTATGTTCTTTAGCAAAATCAGGTAACTGGAGACCTGTATGTCATAGAAATTAATACTCGGAGCAAGATGTAAACTAAGATAAAAAGGCCTAAAACTCGATGAAAAATCTTCAAAATAAGAAACTGTCGAGAATATCTAAATTAAATATTAGATAGGATCAGTTTTAATTAGATAGAATCAGTTTTTATTCTATTAGTTATTAGATAGGATCATTTTTAATTAGATAGAATCAGTTTTTTATTCTATTAGTTATTAGATAGGATCATTTTTAATTAGATAGAATCATTTTTATTATGTTGCTAATTTTATGCATCTTTTTATGTAAAGTTGTTACATTGTAAACTCTATTTAAGTCAGCCATATTCAGCAGAAATAAACACGATTTATTCTGAACAAGTTTTTTTTTTCTTTATGGTATCAGAGCCAAAATGGCCAAATTCTATGATGATACCTCTGGTATCGACTCTATGAGTTCTACTCGCTCACCTTCAATCACCCTAAACACTGAATCCTTCCAAAACATATCCATCACTTCTCACAAGTTGAATGGAAATAATTTCTTACAGTGGTCACAATCTGTGAAATTGTTTATTCGTGGCCGTGGAAAATTCGGCTATCTCTCAGGTATCACTACGAAACCTGCCGAAGAAGAAGAATCTGAAAGATGGGAGGCAGAAAACTCGATGATTATGTCTTGGCTCATAAATTCCATGGATCCGAGTGTAGGGAGAACTTATCTCTTCCTACCTACTGCTCATGACATTTGGAATGCTGTGAACGAGACCTATTCTGATCTCGGGAACGCAGGACAATGGTTTGAACTAAAAACTCGATTATGGAGGCTAAAACAAGGAGAAAAAACTGTCACTCAATACTACACTGAACTCAAGACCTTGTGGCAAGAGGTTGACATGTTCAGCGACTATGAATGGAGTTGTGCTAAGGACAGGGCTCTATTCCAGAAGATGGTGGAAAAAGAACGCGTCTTCGAATTCCTTGTCGGCCTTAACAAGGAATTGGATGAAGTCAGAGGGCGCATCCTTGGTCGTGAACCACTACCAAGCACAAGAAAAGTCTTCTCCGAAGTCAGACGAGAGGAGAGCCGGCGGACAGTCATGCTTGGAGGCCACTCACCAAATCCCACCGAGTCTTCTGCCTTGTTCTCGGGTCAACCACCACGTCGCAACGATCGTCGGAACGACAGAGATCGGCCAATCTGCGAGCACTGCAACAAGCCGGGACACACTAAAGCCAAGTGTTGGAAGCTACACGGGAAGCCAGCCGAGAATTTTTCAGCCAATCGAAATTCTCGTAATGCAAAGGGATTCCATGCCTCATCTGAAGATGCTTTTGAAGAGCCGAAACCTGCCTCAGAACTGTCTGCCTTCAGCAAAGAACAACTAGAGCAATTGTATCAACTAATGAGTTCTCATTCCATATCCAACACTCCTAACCCATCATCTTATATTGCCTCTTCATCATTAGCCCAGAAAGGTACATATCCTACAGCTTTCATAGCCGGTTCTAAATCAAACCCTTGGATCATAGATTCAGGGGCAACAGATCACATGACCGGTAATTCCTCCATATTCTCATCTTATTTTCCTTTATCTGGTAATCTGAAGGTAAAAATTGCTGATGATGGCTCCCTAACCTCTATAGCTGGAAAAGGCTCTATCATTATTTCTCCATCTCTCACATTACTAAATGTCCTACATGTCCCAAAGCTCTCTTGCAATCTCATCTCTGTTAATCGTATTATTCATGATTGCAAATGCATTGCTACAATAACATTTGCTGGATTTGAATTTCAGGACCCTTGTTCGGGGAAGATGATTGGCAATGCTAAGGAGGTTGATGGACTTTATCACTTGGTCACGGACAATCCTTCAAATAAACAAGTTCAGAAACCGAGATGCTTTACTACCTTGTCTTGTGAGAATGAAATAATGTTGTGGCATTATAGGTTAGGCCATCCTAGTTTTAATTATTTGAAATATTTGTTTCCAAATTTTTTCAAAAAAAGGGACGGTTTTTCTTTTCAGTGTGAAGCTTGTGAATTGGCAAAACATCATAGATCTGTTTATCCATCTTTAAAGTATATGCCATCAAAACCTTTTTCTCTTGTGCATAGTGATATTTGGGGCCCTTCACGAGTAAAAACAGCCCCAGGATCTAGATGGTTCATCACATTCATTGATGATCACACTAGAGTCACGTGGATTTATTTACTAAAACAAAATCCGAGGCAGCAAGTGTTTTCAAAAATTTTCACTCACTGATCAATACTCAGTTTCAAGCAAATATTCAAGTTCTTAGAACCGATAATGGTCGAGAATATTTTAATGCAATCTTAGGTGATTTTTTGAAACAAAAAGGAATTATTCATCACAGTTCTTGCGTTGATACTCCCCAACAAAATGGAGTTGCTGAAAGAAAAAATAGGCATTTATTAGAGGTGACTAGGGCTTTACTGTTTGCTATGAATGTTCCTAATCGTTTTTGGAATGAAGCACTCTTAACAGCGTCTTATTTGATAAATCGAATGCCTACAAGAGTTCTTAATTATATTACTCCTTTGCAAGCTCTAAAGAATATGTTTCCTGAAAATAGATCTTTCACTGATTTAACACCTAAAATTTTTGGTTGCATTGCTTTTGTTCATATACACGGCCAAAATAGAGGAAAACTCGATCCCGAGCACATAAATGCATATTTCTAGGTTTTTCACCAACACAAAAAGGGTATAAATGCTTTGATCCTAAATCTGGGAAGTATTATGTGAGTATGGATGTCACGTTTTTTGAAAAACAACCTTTTTTTGACAAAAACTCTCTTCCGGGGGATAATGACTTTGAAATGAGTTTTTGGGAACAAACATCCTTGCCAAAATTGGTTGTAAATAGCTCAGTGGAACCAAATCATATTTCTGTAACTAATCCTAGGATTTCACAACCTATAAATTCACAAACTCGTGAGACTCAGGTAGAAACCAACTTGGAACCACCTACTGAACTTCGTGTTTATTCTAGACGGATGACTCGACCAAGTAATGTTCCACCGGTCCCCAAGGTATGTCAACCATCGGACTCGACTATGGTCCAAGGTACGACTTCTCTTTCTCCTATTTCTTCTCCAAATTTAGAGCCTTCTACAGAATTCTTTGAACCCATAGCCTTGCGCAAAGGTGTTAGATCATGTACCACAAAACATCCAATATCCAATTTCTTATCTTATAATAAACTCTCTCCAGATTTCAAAGCTTTTTCCACCAGGATTATGGATGATGCACTACCTAAGTCGATACATGAAGCTCTAGAAGTTCCGAGATGGAGAGAGGCAGTTTTTGAGGAGTTAAAGGCCCTGAAGAAGAATGACACGTGGGATCTAACTCCTTTACCTGAGGGGAAACAATCTGTAGGCAGCAAGTGGGTGTTCACCATCAAATACCATGCAGATGGCTCGGTCGAGAGATACAAGGCAAGACTCGTAGCACGAGGCTTCACTCAGACATACGGCCTTGACTACGAGGAGACCTTCGCACCTGTGGCCAAATTAAACACCGTACGTGTCCTACTCTCACTAGCCGCCAATCTGGATTGGACTCTCAGACAGTTTGATGTGAAGAATGCGTTCCTAAACTGTGAGCTAGAGGAAGAGGTGTTTATGGAAGTTCCTCCAGGCTTTGATGAATTGAAGAAGGATGGCAGGGTCTGCAAGCTAAAGAAATCCATTTATGGATTGAAACAATCTCCGAGAGCCTGGTTCGAGAGATTCACGAGAGCTGTGAAACAACATGGTTACACTCAGGCCCAGTCTGATCATACTATGTTCTACAAACACAATAATGGTAAAATTGCTATTTAATTGTGTATGTAGATGACATTGTTATGACAGGAGATGACACAGTAGAGTTGGAGTCGTTGAAGAACTTCTTATCCAACCAGTTTGAAGTCAAGGATCTAGGACAACTCAAGTATTTCCTTGGAATGGAGGTGGCTAGATCCTCAAAAGGTATAAGTATCTCGCAAAGGAAATATGTCCTCGATATCTTGAAAGAGACCGGATTACTCGGATGTAAACCAGTGGCGACTCCTATTGATCCGAATCAAAAACTCGAAAAAGAAGATGGTGCTGAGCCTGTGGACAAGAATCGGTATCAGAAACTGGTGGGGAAACTGATTTATTTGGCTCATACGAGACCAGATATTGCATTTGCTGTGAGCTTGGTTAGTCAGTTTATGCATTGTCCCTCAGAAAAACACTCCAAAGCTGTTTACCGGATTCTTCATTACTTGAAAGGGAGTCCTAGTAAAGGAATCATGTTTTCGAAGAATGGAAGTCGAAGAGTGGAGATCTTCACTGATGCTGATTGGGGCGGAAGTTCTACAGACAGAAGATCTACTACCGGTTATTGCTCCTTTGTCTGGGGCAACTTAGTTACTTGGAGGAGCAAGAAGCAACCAGTTGTCTCTAGAAGCAGTGCGGAGGCCGAGTTCAGAGCCATGGCGCAAGGAGTATGTGAGTTGTTATGGCTTAGGAGGATCTTAGAGGAGCTGAAGGTTGAAAGAGATAAACCGATGAAGTTGTATTGCGACAACAAATCGGCAATCAGTATTGCTCAGAATCCTGTACAGCATGACAGGACCAAACATGTCGAAATAGATCGACATTTCATCAAGGAGAGGCTGGAAAATGGCGATATCTGCATACCGTTTGTTCCATCATCAGAGCAGCTCGCCGATGTTCTCACCAAGGGACTGTTTACTACGATGTTCGAAGGATTTCTGTCCAAGCTGGGAATGATCGATATCTATTCTCCAGCTTGAGGGGGGTGTCGAGAATATCTAAATTAAATATTAGATAGGATCAGTTTTAATTAGATAGAATCAGTTTTTATTCTATTAGTTATTAGATAGGATCATTTTTAATTAGATAGAATCAGTTTTTTATTCTATTAGTTATTAGATAGGATCATTTTTAATTAGATAGAATCATTTTTATTATGTTGCTAATTTTATGCATCTTTTTATGTAAAGTTGTTACATTGTAAACTCTATTTAAGTCAGCCATATTCAGCAGAAATAAACACGATTTATTCTGAACAAGTTTTTTTTTCTTTAGAAACTACTTGAGCAAGTGTGTGTGTGTGTGTGTTCCTATGTGTATATGTAGAGAGAGAGCATTAAACAAATTCTTAAGAGGTATAATGCATCAAAGTGCTTAGTAAAATGGAAAAAAGTACCCTCAGGGAAGAGATCATTAAGCACACGGTCAAGGACAGTTGGTGGCGGTATAACCATAGAGGACTTCAAATTGTCTGAACCAGGAGTTTTAACTGCAAGATAAAAAAGCATGAGTTAGAAATTTTTAACAAAATTTAAAATAAAATTTCTTGATAACATCAGCGGTCTACATCATAACACATATGCCAAGATGTGGACGTGGAGACCTGACACAAAATCCTCCATAAATGGAACTCCAAATGATATTTCCCATGCATTAACCAAAAGCTGCAACTGAGAAGCAAATCCGGTTCTGTCTCCTTTTGAACTATCACTTTCATATATAAATTAGTATACTCAGATATATCACATAACAAAAATATTAAGAAAGTAATGAAACAAAGGGGACATAAACACGCAAAAGTAGTCGAATTTTCAGAAGGATAATTTTAATAGTTCATAATGAAAAGAATCCATAGCATAAACTCCTTACAGATTTGGGGACAAATTTGGAGCTAGAATCCAGTTCTCAGCTTCATGGGGTGAAACATTTTCCAGTTCAGCCATTTCCAAGGAGCTTTCAACCACCTTTTCCGAAAAAGTGGCCACTAAATCAAATCCTACACGAGTTGAATCCAGCAAACAGTGTCCGCCAGCAATGCATAAAGAAAAAAGCACCACTCAGAAACATTGCAAGTAATCTAGGAGGCATAATTTTCCATATCATTCTGCTGAATAAATAAAAATATAACATAATCTTACCCTTTACTGGATCTTCTGCAGAATACCATTCATTCCAAGGGCAATCATCATCCCAATGCTTCCTATTGAGATTATCACCACCTACGCTTGTTTCAGAATATGCATTTTCAGCATCAGCTTCTTGGATATCATTGTCACTGTCCTCATCATTGGGAAGTGTTCGATAGGTGAGTTTCATTCTAAGATGTACTTTGAAAATATGCATTGAATGGTCTGATGTGCAGTAAGCCTTCAAAATAGATGGCAATTAGTATTACCTCATAAATAAAGGGCATAATGTCAATGTGGGTGCAAAATACTACAATTCTGATGTGACACTCGAACAAATAAGGGGAAGGATAATTTGAGCGTCACAACCATAACTAACACAAAGCAATATTTCAGCTTTATCAGTTGAGATAATTAACCAGAGAATTATAAAATGTTAGTTAAGAAGATCAGATATCATCTTACTGTCAAGTAATAATAACCACCCCTATAGTTTGTGAGCCTGAAAGAACATGCAGATTTTTAATTAAAAAATGAACTTACAAACTTAGAAACAAACAACTCATACAATCCTTCCAGGTGCATTAACTTAATGGGAACCTGGCTACCAACACGATCAGCCTCAAACCTTCTAGTAAAAATTGTTCCCATATTTTGGATTCCAACATAGGCTCGTCTTGAAGGGGCATGGACAGGGACAAATGCCGGCCACAAACTGCAATACCAAAATGTATACAAAAGTTTCGAATTCAAAATTAATATTTAAAGTTTAGGTATAAAAAGAAGTTAATGCAACAGATACATGCAGGATACAAATATGAATTACAAAACTAACATAAACTGTTTCCGAAAACCTTTATTTATCTATTATTATTTTGTAGGATATAGCCATATACTTCGTATTTAGTATTTTATTTTGTATTAAACTTGTATTTCAGATTTATCTAAGTAGAAGATAAGATAGTTTTGTGTATAGATAAGAAAGTAAACAACTAGGAGGACTCTTATGTTGTAAATCCTAGTAGGACTGCTGTTGTAACTCGGCCTATTTTAATAGGTCTGATTTATTTGTTTATTAGAATAACAAAGGAATAGCAGAGAAAAACAACTCTTTTCCAGAAAACTCTCTCCTCATTTCAGTAAATTTACATGGTATCATGCAAGTTTCTGACCCTGGAATACTATGGCATACCCAACATCTTCCTCAAAAATCAGTTCCGAATTAGACCAATTACACTCTCCAATTCTTCACCTATTTCTATAATTTGTCATGCTAATGGGGCTGGTGTTTCCGCCACCAATGTGACAACAACCACTTCACTAAGGAGCAGATTGGAGCACAACAAAAAGCTTTTAGGAAGATGTCAATCTCTCATGATCAACATAGTAGTTTGACCTCTTCATCAAGCTAAACACAGTTAAGGGGGAAAGCTTGATCAGTCTGAATTATTTTCTTAACAAGAGTTAGGCTGGCCTCTTGGTTTCTAGCAAAGAATAAGGATGTTTCTATTACTAAGGACTCTTTAATTTCTGATCCTTCTATAGGAGATTCCTATTCGTCCTACAATTTCTTGAAGTCTTCTATAATCCCTTGGTTACCTCCCCCTATGGGTTTCGTCAAGGTAAATGTGGATGCAGCCACTAGCAGTGATTGGAAGGAATCAGGTCTTGGAGTCTTATGAGGATCAATCTGGTGCAATCCTAGGTTCTTTTCAGGAGCCTGCTGGTTCAGGACCTCCAACATTGAAGGAACTTAAAGCTATTCAAAGGGGTATTTCTTTCTTTGCCTCTTTTCAAGGGAGGGTTAAAGATAGGCTGATCGTTGAGAGTGATTGCAGGGTTGCAGTAGACTGGATAAATAATGTTGACTCTGTCCAATTGTATATGTTTATTGTTAGAGATATTGTTGATAGTCTTAGAACTTTCGGGGGGGGTTGTTAGATGGGTTGCAAGGACAGCGAATATGGATGCTGATGGTTTAGCAAAGGCTGGTATAGGTTGATTTTTATGTTGTTGGCTTCTTTAGTTTGGTTTTCTGGCTCCTGTATTGTTTGTAAGGGTTTTTTGGAATAGTTGTTCCAAGGTTGTAATTCTATTTTTTATAATGAAATTATAAGGCACTCTTTTCCTCCTTCCGATGATTAAGAAGCTTCTATACAAGCTCCATTAATCAAGAAGGAGGTTTTTAATGAGGCCTTCAAATCTTATCAAAAAAAAAGCTAAACACAGTTCGAGTATTACTATCACTGGTGGTAAATGAAGATTGACCTCTTCATCAATTAGACATAAAAAATGCATGCCTAAATGGGGATCCTGAAGAAGATGTGTACATGGAGATACCTCTAGGCTTATAGAATTCCTCAAATGACTACAAAGTATGTAAGCTAAAGAAGTCATTGTATAGCCTAAAATAGTTTCCTCGTGCATGGTTTGATAGATTTACTAAAACTATAATTAACTATGGATATAGTCAGTGCCAGTCAGATCACACATTGTTCTGAAAGCTTTCATCAAAAGGTAAAAAGAACGTCCTTATTGTTTATATTGATGACATTACCATACAAGAGATGACGTTGAAAACTCATTAAATTAAAAGTCAACTTGATGTTGAATATGAAATCAAAGATCTTGATACTCTCAAGCATTTTCTAGGGATGGAGTTTGCTTGATCAAAAGTTGAGATTGTGATCTCACAGAGAAAATACATTTTGGACTTACTAACAGAGACTGGTATGCTTGGATGTAAACCAACAGAAACGCCCATGGATCCCAACTTAAAGCTAAGAAGATATGGAGTGTCAGTTAATAAAGAACAATACTAAAGGTTAGTGGGAAAGCTAATTTGTTTATCTCATACAAGACCAGATATTGCTTTTTCACTAGGTATTGTCAGACAACATATGAATGATCCTAGGGAAGAGCATCTAGAAGCAGTCAATCAAACTTTAGGTATCTCAAAATGACACCAGGTCATGGTTTATTTTTTAAAAGAAGTGAGAACTGTAAGGTCGAGATATTGTTCCTTTATTTGGAATAATATAGTTACATAGAGGTGTAAGAAGCGGTTAGTAGTTTCAAGTAAAGCATAAGCTAAATTTCGAGCACTTGCACTAGGAATTGGTGAACGAACATGGATTCATAGATTATTAAAAGAATTAAATGTTGACTTTAATAATCAATCCAAGGTGCAAAGTGACAACCAATCTGCCATAAGTATTGCTAAAAGTCTTGTTCATCATGATAGAACCAAGCATGTAGATATTGATAGACACTTCATTTTAAAGAAAAGAATAATGGGGCAATCAAACCAAGCTATGTTCCTACTCAACTGCAACTAGCTGATTTTCTCACTAAACCTCTTCCAAGAGTTAACTTTGATGGTTCCATGTCCAAGTTAGGATTATATTTAGTATTTCTTTGTATTAAACTTGTATTTTTCTTTACCTAACAGGACTCTTATGTTGTAAATCCTAGTAGGACTCTACTGTTGTAACTCAATCCATTTTAATAGGTCTGATTTATTTGTTTATTCAAATAATAGAGGTATAACAAAGAAAACACAACTCTATCTTCCAGTAAACTCCCTCCTCTTTTCAGTAAGTTCACTTTTTTTTGTGTGTGTGTGTTTTGGGGGATAAGCCCGAGTATTAAAAGAATCTTTAGAAGTTAATAAGACTATATATTGCTAATTACTATGATAAAAGCTAGAAAATTAAAAGGATCACGTGTTATCATGCTTCAAAAGTATTTTGTGGTAACATTTACAGTCAGAACCCTAACCTTGAACAATTTGACAAAGCAATTGAAACTGCACTTAGAAGCTTGGTAGCCTCTGCCGAATCAAGTACCACACCACTGGCACTTTGAGGTGAAATCACCTGTTGATGGCATTTGTTAGGTTGAAAGGTAAAGAAAGAATTGGATAGCATTATACAAAGGTGAAATTACTTCGCAAGTCTCTCTATTATATGTATTGTATGGACCTGTTCAAATTAGTCCATGTGCAGGTAAAAATAATCAAATAAGGCCTAACTTTAGTAGAGTTAACATATACTGTTTAAAAACATCATTTATTGTTTTATATTTTTAAAGCTTTTATGAGTTTGTAAATGAAATCTTTTGTTTGGGGCTGAACTACAAATGGAAAAAAAAAAATTATATTTTTCATGCCATTTTTTTAAACAATAAAGGTTAACTATATCAAAATTTGACCTTATTTGAATATTTTTACAGGTAGAGGGATTAAATTCATGTATTCAACAGTACATGGATTAATTTGAACCGATCCCTATAAACAGACGGACCTGGCAGGTACTTTAAGCATATCAAGAAGACTATTGAAAGGAAATGAAGAAACCGCACAGGATGTGAGCATACCAAAAATTCCTTTACTCCAAAGCAAAGCTGCAAATCATGCAAAGTGGAATTCCAATCAGCAATTTTGCCTGTGCCAATCAAAACACAGGTAAGAAACATAAGTTCAAATCAAGCTAGGAAATGATTAAGGGACTATTTTTCCCTCAAAGTACCATCTTTGCTGATTTCAAGTAGTACTCCATGGAATAGACTTTTGCAGCATTTTTCAGGTCGGATTTGACCTTATATATGTTATCAGATGAATCCAGATGAACTGCTCCCTTTTCCTAAGACAAAATTACAGATATATCCGCTTTTATTTAATATGATCATGAGGTTGGGAAATAGAATCTTAACCTGCATTCCTTGCTCTTATCTCTTAAACCAAAATGGAACAAATTATAAACATTTTGAATAGAACAAGCTTTCAGAAATCAGAGCAGGCGTACCAGCAATTTTTTTGGACCATCAGCTAACCAATGCCGACAGGTAGCCTCTATTTCAGATATGAACCTAAAATTCGATAGTCAATAATATCATATTTATAAAGTACGAAAGGAAGAAATAAATGTAGAAAATGTTGAAATTGTTGTACTATCAAACACCTTTCCCATGAAGAAGCCAGAGTGAAATCATTGAAGTGTTCAATCTGCACAAATATCCAATAAACTTTACCTTTTCAACAAAGGAAATAATTTAAAATGCTGTCTAATTTTCTAGCTAATGATAAACTTTGGAATCTGAGGCAGGAAAAACAGAAGTAAAGCTGTGAATTACTTACTTCCTCTTCTTCCTCTTGTTCGGTTACATTGGCTTCGCTTGAAGATGCCATTAAAGATGACGCAATTCTCTTGGTAAATCAACTTCAAATTTTGCTTCGAAGACAAAATTGACGATAGCTACGGAAAATTTATCTAAAATCAATCGTCGAGAAAACGAATAACAGACATTTGAATCAAAGAGAGATTTCAAATATCAGTTTGAAATTAATCAACGGACATTGAGATAGAAAATAAATCATATGAAGGTAAAGGAGAGCGATAGTGAAACAGAGAGATCTGGGTTTTTTATGAAAACGTAAAAGATGGGTGGATTATTGGATTCCTCCAATGAAATGCGATTAGCAGAGTCCCCAAAAGTCGAATGCGAAAGTTTTGTGAATTAACTCCTTCAAAATATCAAAATAACATAAATTCTCGGGTTTTAGTTAAAATTTGATATTTGACCCTCAGCATTGTCTTCTCTTACAAATTTGCCATAATATTTTTTAAGTCATTAAACTTCACATAACTTTTCATATAAGTCACAAATTATTTAATTTTAGCAGATTATATCATGAAACCTATATTATTAACAAATTAAGTAGTGTAAAATTTATTATATTGATCAGAAAATGATTGTCTAAGATGGTCCTTGAGGTGTTAACTCTTGATTCTGCTCATGTATGGGTTAAGCTTTGGCATGTGTCATTGGAGTTATTTTCTCAAAGATGACTTGGTTATATTGCGAGTGTGCTTGGTAGGCCTTTGTACACAGATAGAGCTACAGGGAGCACCTGATTTTGCTCCTGCATGGGTTAAGCTTTAGCGTGTGCCATTGGAGTTATTTTCTCAAAGAGGACTTGGTTATATTACGAGTGCGCTTGGTTGGCCTTTGTACACATATCGAGCTACAACATTGAAGAAACAACTTGAATTTGCTCAAATTTGTGTCAACATTTATGCGAAATTTGAACTTTCTGGTTCTATTACGGTTGAGATTGGTGAGGGTAATAAAGTTTATATTGGAGTGGAGTTGGTTTGGAGCCCTTCCAAGGTGTACTCATTGTAATATTTTTGGGCATATAGGAGAGGAGTGCTCTAAGAAAAATGTTGATTTATTGGATGATATTGATGTGATTGGTAGGAACTACATTGTTGATATAGATTTAAGGGTAAGGGATGAAATTGACTTTATGGTTGTTTCTGATAAGATGGTATGTTTGAATGATATTAATGTTTTAGCTACTGTAGATGCTAATAAGAAAGAATTAGTTAGCTCTATTGCTAATTATGTAGATGATAATGGTGATGTTTCTGTTGTTGTTTGTGTGGGTTTTGTTGTGGGTATATTATCAAATATTCATGTTTATGTGGGTGGTGGTAATGTTTGTGTAGGTTCTGATAGTGGCAATGGTGTTATTGTTAGTAATATTTCTCATTCTACTGAAGGTTCTAGGATTAATTCTCAGGGGATGCTATTAATGATATTCGAAGTCCAAATCGGTTTACTCCATTGGCTCAGGGGTGGTGGTCTCGCCTAGAAAAATTAAGGTTGTTGCTAATGAAGTGTTTGAGTTAATGAATCTGTTGAAACCAAAAGGGAAGAGATGATGTGCTAATAAGAAAAAACAAGACAAGGGTAGTCAGAAAGATAGTGGTATCTCCCCTTCTTTACAATGATTATGACTGGGAATGTGAGAGGGTGCAATGATATTCTCAAGCGGAGAAGGATTTTGAGTGTGGCTAGGAAATTACAGGTAGAGGTTTTATGTTTACTTGAAACCAGGGTAAGGAGTTGAATGTTGTGTCTATTGTTCATAGGCAATTTAGAGATTATCAGTTTATTTCAAACTATTCATAGGCTTTAAATGGGAGAGTTTGGATTTTATGTAGAGGTTCTTAGCAGATCGATAAGGCTAGTAAATCGGATCAGCTTATTTCTTGTTTGATGAAGGCTGATGATGCTCAGTTTTTCTTTCTGCAGTTTATGGGTGTAATGGTCGTGAGGATATAAGTCGGTTATGGGAGAATTTAGTTAATGACGAGTCTTAGTTGGTCTTAATCCTTGGGTTATTACTGGGGATTTCAATATCATTAGATGTCCTCAGAAAAGCTCTAATTTTGATGGTATTCAAGGTGTGATTGAAGCAATCCAAGATTTTCTTGATTGTCTAGAGGTGTTTGATTTTGTTGATCACCCGTATACTGGGGCCATGTTTACTTGGTGTAACAATAGAGAGGAAACTCTATTGTCTAGGAAGTTGGATAGGGTTATGGTGAACCAGAGTTGGATGCAATCCTTTCCTAATGCTAAAGTTAAATTTTTGGTTCCGGATTATTTAGATCATTGTCCTAATTAGGTTGTTCCTAAGGCTCCAATGGGTAGGCCTCATAGGCCTTTTAAATTTTTTTCATTTTTGGGTTGACCACCATGATCTTTTGGGCATTGTTGAGGAGCCCTGGAAAATTTCGATTAGTGGAAATGCTTTACAGCTATTGTTTGCTAAGCTTAAGAGATTGAATGACCCCCTTAAGGCTTTGAATAATGAACACTATAGTAGATTATTTAAAAGGACTGTTGGTGTTAAGAGTGAGCTTGAGGTGATCCAAAAGTTTATATTGGTTTCCCCTCTACTAGAAATATTACATGTGAGAAGGAACTCAGTCAAGATTTGAATACTTTGTTTAAGGTTGAGCATATGTTTTTGTGACAAAAATCGAGGGTGCAATTTATCAAAATAGGGGATTGTAATTCAACTTATTTTGTTAGGCAAGTCATGTAACATCCCAAACTACAGGTTAGTGACTACATTGTAAAATTTCAGAATATGGTGATTAAAGTAGAATAGTTTAATGATTTATGTAGAGATATTTTCTGAAAGTTGTTAGTAAATATTAAAGGAGTCAAAGTGCAAATGAGTAATTGAACAAGGAAAATAATTAAATAATAATTAATGGGTATTATAATACCCATGTGGAGAATGATTGAAGAGATAAGCTTCCAAGCAATTCTCTTCTTCATCTTCTTCTCTTCTCTACGTGAAAGCTCAAAGCAAAGGTGAGTTCTTTGATTTCTTGATTGTTTGTTGATTTTAAGCATGGGTTTTGATCCTTAGATGATAACTAAACTTAAGGAAAGCTTAAGTTATCTTAAAATCAAAAGATAAAGGAGTTATGATATATTAAAGAAAATGGGGTTTTAAGTGAAATTTTGAATAAGAAGGTTTAAATGAATTTGGAGGATAAATTTGACTTGCCATCTATGAGAATAAGAAGTTAGAAGTGTTAAAATTAAGTTTGGATGACATGAAAAATTTGGTATGATTATTGATTTATATATGGAGAATAGAATTTTGAAGTTTAAGATGAAATAAATAGATATAAATGAGTTTAAGCATGTATATTTGAGTTAAGAATATGAAAAAGGAATGAAACTTGAAGAATTTGAAATTGAAAGAGTGAATTTTCGTGCAATGAACTGTGATTTCTGGGTAGGTGCATCGATGCATTAAGGGGTGCATCGATGCATGGATATTTCGAAGCTATTATGTGTACCGATGCACCCATAGTGCATCGATACACTCTTAAAGGAAAATATGAAATTTGGTTTATTAAATTAGTCTGAGTTATTAACTTCAAGTTATAAGGTTTAGACTTTTGATAATCGTATCGAAATTTATGTTTATGTAGATATTGAGCCTAAACAAGTTCAGGAACAATCAAAGAATTAGGATCGAATCAAAGCAAGGCTAAGGTGGGTGCAACTTAAATTGTACTTATGTGATTGATCAAATATTGGCTTGCGATGAGCCAATGATGGATTTATTATGGTAAGAAGTAACTTATAAAACGTTATATGATTACTATGCGTGCATTAATATATAGAAATGGATGTATGTTATTATATGTTTACACATACATATGGTATGTGACAGAAGAAAAGAAATATGTGATTATAAGATCAATGATTACACGTATATATGATACGTGACAGAAAAGAGAAAGGATATGAATAAGTAATGTGAACTGTTATAAATGATAATGCCCATGTTATATGATATGAGAGCTAGGGGTATAGTTGGCATGCCAAGGGTCGAGGGTTTACCTATATTCTTCGGGACATATAGATTGTTTACATATGTTCTTCGGGACATATGGACTGTTTAACTATGTTCTTCGGAATATATGGACTAGTCATTCGGGACAATTGGTGATAGCATAATAGTGCACAACCTCAATGTACTCACATACCTTAAGTTCTCACTGGTGTACATGGGCTAATAAAAAGATTAATCAAATATACTGAAGGTGATATGCATATGTGATTTATTATATGGAATAAATTACAAGATTCATGTATTGGTTATATCAAAAGCATATATGTTTTAGTTATATGAACTGTATTACGTGAAGTATATGGTGTTAAGTGTATTTCTTTATGAAATGATATATGATGTGTATAAATGATAAGTATATGATTATATGATAAAAGGTATTAATGATAATAAGAAGATAATGATAAGGAAGATGATAATCATATATATACATGTGTGGATTTGATATATGAATAAAAATATGATAGTATATGTGCATATATGTAATTTAATATATGAAATGTTTTATGATTTTTATTATATGTTTTATATGCCTCACTAAGTCGTAGACTTAGCGTGTGATTATTTCACGCGTAGGTTTGAGAAGATGAAGATTGATAAGAGTTATGCAAGACATGTCAGTTCTCCTTTCCAAAGATCAGATCAGAAAAGAAATGTATAATATGTATTTTGTAATAAGGAAAGTGGTTGGCATGTAAATAAAGGATTAAATACGATATGTTCTAATCGGTTTTGAAAAGTCATACGATTGCGTTTTGTAATGTTTTAATCGTGCTTATATAAATGACAATTGTATAGTAATGAACGGTTAAATTTTTACGAGTTTTATGAACATTTTACGAAAGTCACTGTAGCAGTGCATCGATGCACAATTTTGCTTCGAATATTTGATGCATCGATGCACAGTTCATGACACTGTGCATTACTATTCACGGTACTGTTCATACCATATTTTACTATTCATAAATATGTTTTTATCTCAAATTTTTATACCAACACAATTGAAGAATATATGATCGTATTTTCTTAATATAAGTTCAAATGTTCAGTTATTTTACAAGAACAAAGGTTTTAAAATGTCAAAGTGACATCTCGGACTCGTATCCGGGTTGAGTATGGGTTGGGTGTTACATTTAATGGTATCAGAGCTACGGTTTAGCCGATTATAGGCTAAAAATGAAGTCAAAGTGTTTTAAAAAGTATACATGCCAACACAAAGTGAAATATTTTCTGATCTGATAGGGTAAGGAGTGTGTTGTCTTGTTAATAGAGTTAAATTGTTATGT